AAACTAGCTCTAGCTCAGTTTCTCTGTTATCCACGTGAGTGTAAACATCAAAAATAACGTTGAAAAAGACACGACTTTGTTGTTGTTTTTTCTTTCTAAAAGTCCGGGCGAACATGCGATTTCTTTCCAAATAAAACCTTGAGTTGCATTTGGGTTGCCATACCTGTTAATTGAATTAATTTACATTGGCATGTCTGTGGTGCGGACGGACGGTCGGGCGGGCGGGCGGGCGGTCGGTGTATGGTCACGTGATTACCAAATTGTCTCGGATGGGTAGTTTACCACATTTTTTTACCCATGGTGCTCCGCTGCGCGCTTCGCGCGCGAGAGCTCCGCTATGAAGCGATTATTTGCATACTATAAAACAGTATAGCAGCAACCCTTGCAAAAATTATACAGGTTTAAACAATAAATACTTAAAAACTAGTCCTGTGGAATCCCTTGAATCTAAAATAATGTGGAGCCAAGGAAAACAGAGATTGTCCAGCTCAGACAAAGTTTACTAGTTTCTTAAGGGACCAGTCATTAACTCCACAAAAACAAACAAACAAACTAAAAATTATGTTTACAAAATATTTATGAGTAAATCTCAACAAGGAGGCAACGTTAAATTTTGTGAGTGACAGCAGAATTTTATCTTCTGATGCTGCAGCTTTCACAATGTTACCTGCTAAGAAACTGTTGACAAGAACAGCTTTATGACAGATGTCATTTGACCTTCAAGTGACAAATAGGGGCGCTCACACTGCCAGCTACATAAGGTAATAACCTACAAGTTCTCTGCAACATGATTGGACAATACACAAGTGTACATACACAGTGTGGTAAAAGACTGGTTCTTACCTTCATTGAATTAACAAATTTTTCACTTCGCATGAAAGCATCTTCTATGATGCTGTCCAGCTGCTCTTTAAAGTCCAACAGATCCTGTACCATACTTTTGTCTTTTTCAGGATCCAACACTATGCTTGCACCTTGTTTCTGATGCAGGAAAATAGAAAAACACTCAATGCTTATATGCTTAAATAAAATATATTTACATGTAGTTAATGACTCAGCAGAACCTTTCCTTGGTTTGCTCAATTTTGGCTTAATTGAGACAAAGACTCTGCAGGAATCGTGCCAGATCTTTGTTGAGCATGCACTGCTTGTTGCTAGGATACAGTTTGAACACAGCCCTAAGAGCCGTTTGCTTGGTACAGCAGGCTCAGTTACGACCATCGGTTTATCAATAAATGGATGCTCGCTCTTAATATTGCCAGTTTGATGAGAGAAAACAAGATTGAGTATTCCACAAGTTTGAACTGTGGTGACTTCGAAGGCTTGAAACCATTCATGCAGATCCTCCTTTTGTTCTCAACAAAAGGAGGCTCTGCTCTTAGGGTGTTAACCCTTTAAACCCTAAGATCAAAATTTGAATTCTCACTTGTTGCCCCTTTTTATTTCCTACAGAAGCAGTGGGGAGAAGCTGATAAAATATCAAGCAAATTCATCTTGTATGATCATGTCCATAATTCTCATGACCACTCTGTTTTTCAAGGCATTGATATTACAAGGAGAAATTTGATGATCACTCTTAGGGCTTAAAGGGTAAAGGACGCAATCTGGTATTTATTAATACTAAATGATAGTACAACAGAAGTATAATGCAATAAAAACACCCATCTACTGTATCTATGGCTGCCTTAATGCATGAACAGGTTGGTAGATGTTAAGCTTGCTACAAGGTTCATCACAAAAAATCAAATGTATATAAACAAAGTTAACCAACATTTCAGTCTAAATGAGATAATTACTCTGATGTATTCGTTGAAAGCAGTGCAAAGCTCATCTTGTCCTTTTTTAACTCTGCTGAAAAGCTGGTAAAGTAGGGCTAAGTCACTTAATCTATAACTCGACATCAAGCTATCAAAACCTGCAAGAAGTAAACAAGAAAAATTATTTATTTTCCACTTTGAATACGCACAGGTAAAAATTATCATAAATGTTTAAAAACTAATACGTTTTGTGTGGACAGACACCTCGGCAGAGATTTTTAGCATACTGTACATCAGGGTTGTCACTAAGCGGTTATTTAGCACTACACCACAACAATGTTTAAGAGTTTAAAGTTTAGATGTGACATTAAAAAAGATCCATCTATTTGCACACCAAAAAAAATGTGTGTCACTGAGACATCCAATGTATTGCAGGATGTCAGGGTTATTAGGAAATAATATGTGTAGAAATGTACGGAGGAAAACCAGATGTTTCGAGGGTGCTCCCGATTCTCCAGTGGTTATTGAGTTGCTTTACATGTAAAACCATGGAAGAAGAGGGAGGCCGCCTGAAACGTCTGGTTTTCCTTAAAACCTTTTTTTTTGTTGTATATTTTAAAAAAAATTGACTTTCACATGATTATTTACATTGCACAGTTTCTGGTAAATTAAGGGTCATACAGTGATATCACAAGGGGGCAAGGCAGAAAAGAGAGAGAGATGGATATAGATAAAGAGGCTACTGCACGACATACAGTGATGGATTGTACTGTATACAAACAGACCTTTCTGAAGAATGCTGCATAAGTGTTGCCCTAACAGCTGTTTTTCAACACAAGGAACAAGAAATTTCCTGTCAAAAAAGAAAAACCATCCAAAATAAACTTATACATGTACTGCACATATATTATTGATCAGCTCCACCAACTCTTTAGTGAGATATGATCATCTGGGTCACATGTAGTAGAGCATGGGCATATTGTGTAGTTCCAGAAAATATCAATAACCCCCACAGAGGGCACTTTTGCTTTAGGTCCCCCCACATTCCAGGGGGTGCTTGTCAGACCCCGCCCCCCCCCACCCCCACACCCGCCCCGAACATCCTTATCTTGATTACCTCCCTAACAGCCCCCTACAAAAAGGACTTTTATAAAAAATTGCTCGTTCCCCAAAAAACATTGACACTCCCCGAGCGTCTTGAAGTGCTAGGGGGTCGAAGCTGATGATTG